ATCAAAATATAGCACACTAATGAAACACTCAAGCGGATTGACATCTCAGCTTTGGGGCCTCATAAAAGGCAGGAGCGGAGAGAACAAAAACACCGCTCAATAACGTCCTTCAAGAAGTTTTCATTTCAAGAGGAGTTGCATTTTCCGCTACATTTGGGGGTGTGATTGAACTGCAGCATTGTTTCTAAAGCATATCATCAAATGAACGGGATCGGGAACCAAAGAGAGAGAGCTGCCTGGTGGATAACTGATATGTCACCAGATTTTATTGATAGCCACATACAACAGGTCACATATCGAAGGGATGTTTTCCCTCCATCTCCATGTTGTTCATTGACTGTGGCCTGCTCTGATTGGACCGAAGGTGCACAAATGAGCACACGGGACGGCACACTCGAGGAGAGACACTGTCAGATGAAACAATATGAAAGGAAATAAAACACCCAGCAATGAATAGAAATAACTGCATTAAGATTAACGAGCATGTCGGGTAAAGAATGATTACATCTGTCAAAGAATCAGAAATACACGAGCTGTACAGTGGGAGGGGAAGAGAGGGTGATCGCTTTGTTGTTTTTGAGAGGCGGGGAGAAATGAAGTGGGGCCATAGCCACATGACTGCCCTGCAGTAAACCTGGAGCCATCCATTCTCAAGTAGGATGGGAGTTGTGACCTTGGATACCTGCAGCAAGATGCACAGTGACAAACGGCCGCAGAATAATGGAGGTGACACCACATGCTGCAAAAAACAGGAAGGGCTCCCCACAGAAAGCCATCACACTGCTTATGCCGTTTGAGACACGCGTTGCTGTTTGTGTTCGTCAGGCTGGATCAGGGCAACTGCTAATTTGGGGGAAATACGACTTGAAATACTGTGGTTGACGGGCAATCAGTCCATGCCAAATTCAACCGGGCAAGGCTTCAACCGTTCCTATGTGCCTGAATGGGGTGAGCGAGATTGAGCATGTACACAGAGTTGAAATCAAGAAATAACACTCAGTCATCTTCTCCAAGTGATGACCGTTGCCTAAACTGTCTTGTAGATCAATATGATTGTTTACTCAAAGAATATGTGCAATGTGTGTAACATGAGAGACAAAAGGTTTGGAATTGGACTGACAATTAACTGGTAGTAATTTACATGCAGTACATCTGGGTACCTCCTAAAATCAAGGTTGGACTCACAGTGGTACTGAACCAGTGGGCTGGACTCATGTGTGAGCAGCGCCTCAGATTCAACCTTTTTACTGGAGGCACAGTAGTCCAGAAATTTTAGTGGTGCAACTAGAACAGTTAGGGGCGCACATTTTAAGTCGAGTAAATATTCATACCACCCTTTTCACTATATTACAGATAAATGGGCTGAAGTGCGGAGCAGAAGCTTGTCAGCAACAACAAAAAAACATTCAAGTGCAGCAAATACAAAAAAAAAAAAAAAAAAATCTGCAAATTTTTTGGTTGCACTGGCCTGTAGATGAAAAATTTACTTGCACTGTTTCAAATTTTCGGAGCAAAATGCCCCCATTTAGAGGCTGCTGGGAGCCCTTTTATAAATGGTGCTCCCTGCCAGAAATATTCGATTCCAGATTACAACAACAATTGACCTGTCACTAAGCGTTATGTCCAGCTCCGGTTCTTGAAGGTATGCAGTACTGCATATTTTAGATGATTCCTTCCTCCACCAGAGCTGATTCAAATGATCAGCTCATCAGCAATCTCTGCAGAAGTCTGATGATAATGATCATAATCAGGTGTGTTAGAGGAGTGAAACATCCAAAGCATGCAGGATAGCGGCCCTCGGGGACCGGATTCAATACTGTACGTTAATGGTTGATTTGTTCTTTCGCTTCAGTTTTCTGTATTCAGTGATTCTCAGAGTGTGGTATGAAGTCCAGTCCATCCATCCATTTTCTAATCCGCTTATCCTCACGAGAGTCGCGGGTGTGCTTGAGCCTATTTCAGCTGTATTCGGGCACTACTGGTTGCCAGCCAATTGTAGGGCACACATAGACGAACAAACATTTGCACTCACGCTCACACCTAGGGACCATTTAGAGTGTTCCGGCAACCTGCCACACACGTTTTTGGAATGTGTGAGGAAACCGGAGTACCCGGAGAAAACTGCAGGCACGGGGAGAACATGCAAACTCCACACAGGAAAGCCGGAGATGGAATCATGGCACCTCTCCACTGTGAGGCGGACGTGTTAAGCAGTTATCCATCTTGCCGCCCGTGGCATGAAATGTGGTTTTAAATGTTCAAACTGTGCAATGCTACACTGGATTAAACACTTTTCTAGAAATCAATACATTTGTTAAGTACAGTTCAGTTGTGTTTGTTTTCAAACATTATTTTAGGAAAATTGTGTCTTAATTTATATGTGCAATAAATTTGATTTGCTCATTACTTCAGTACCTTTTTTAAATGCCCTATATTTAAGTCCAGTGTTTACATTTAACAGGCGCATGTTTAAGTGGATTAGAATATTCTTAGCTTTTTTATGACGTATTTCTTTTTTTATTTCTTTTTTAATTTTATGTTAATGCTTTAGATGGGACAATGGACCTTGAAAACATCAAGCATACTTACATAGTGTAAAAGTGTCGGATTTAGCACAGGGTTAATTTCACCCCCGAAACACAAATACATAAATCACACAATAAATACAATCGTTAAAGTAAATAAATAATTTTAAAAACATGATTAGTATTTAGTCATTAAAACATCGACATAAATTTTGATGAACACTTACGGCTTAAGCCTATTTACAACACTACGGTATTTTACTGTTGGTCATGATGGGGGTACTTTGTTTAAAAATGGACACATACACACGTATTTGAGTACCATATTTTTCAGACTATAAGTCACACTCTTTTTCACAGTTTGGTTCTCCTACGCCTTATACTTGGATGCAACTTGTATATAACTGTATTAAAATTAGAGCTCAGACAGGGAACCAAAATCCCCGTGCCCTAATTGTGTTGACTTTCTGTGCATGACCATCACATTCTTTCCACCAGTCGTAATGCCCCAAAGGTATGTGCCAGCTGCCAAAGGACAGTCGAAGAAGAATGGAAGAAGAAGAAGAAATGGAGAAAAAAATGGAAGTAGAAGAAGAACTAAAAGACGAAGAAGAATTGTAGTCATGGCAGCTGTTGTGTCCCGGAACTCTGCTGCCATCGCTGGCATGTGGTATCCGTCACAACAAGCATTTACTATTTACAGCACTAAAAGACCGACTAGAATTCTACTTTCGCGGGATTCTAGTTAAGGTAAGTCATTTTAAACTAAAAAGAAAAAAATTTCCATTATTAGAACCAAAGGTTTTGTTCAACCAGAAAATTGCTTGCTGTCATCAATATTTGGAAATTCACTCTAACACCACTCTGAGACTGTGAGAGTTCGAGGCGCCAGAGCGTGCTCCCCAGACTATGTTATAAAGCAATTAGCAGCTTGTGCTTCAACTGTTTCCTTTCCATGTGCTGCCTGATGCGCTGGGCTCTGGCACTCCTTTTTCGGGACAATACGAAGAACTGAAAATGTTCTGAGTTTCCAAACAGTGGGAGAAAAGCAGTGCATACTCGGGAGTATATTTAAGAATGCATCCACAATTAAGGAACGGGTATTTGGGGGGAAAGTCCGAGCTCCACTCTGTCTCGGTTTTTGTAAAATAAATGTCCCCCCAAAATGTGACTTGCACTCTGCAGCGACTTATATGTTTGTTTTTTTTCTTTCTTAGTGGTGCATTTTCTTTTGACTGGTATGAATGATACTCTAGAGCAACGGGCCAAAAAAATGGAGTAACTGGTTGATAAATTGACTGTAATTGTTTAGTAATGTTCCACTTTTGACTTTTTCTGATGGTACCACTGGCCTTTCTCCACTGAACTCAACTTTACTTTCATGTTCCTGTTAAGGGTTTTCTCAAATTAACCTAGTTTACTAGCTAGCTTTTACTCAGTTACTTTGCAAAATATGCTCCTGTGTTAAATTCAGGGGCCTTAGAGCTAAATGACCCCCCCACACCCCCAAGCACAATGTTAAGGAAATGGCTTGTAAATGAATTGGTGTGACAATTTCAAGTTGAACGAGAGAGAGAGAGAGAGAGAGAGAGAGAGAGAGAGAGAGAGAGAGAGAGAGAGAGAGAGAGAGAGAGAATAAAAAAACGCAGAATATCAAATAGGAGACTTCAAGGCATAAGGAGACCTTTCAAGGCAAAAGGAGACCTTTAAAAGTCAGCTGCTGCTTTTGCTATTTCTCTGTCGCAGACTTTTATCTTGCGTTCATTGAATTAGTGAACAGCTTTCTCTACTCCTGCCACAAGTGTTTCTCTGATCTGGAATGAGATTGGGCCATGTTTTGCCGCAGTATCCTGCAACACAGCGACCGTGTACACATGGATGGGCATTGAAATTGACAACAGCAGAAACAACAACACCACCAAAAAGTTTTTGCTCTTCTGTAACCCCTGGCCCCTCTCTTGCTTTTCCCCAATTGGCCTCATCAGGCCCGCGTTCCACATGAGGCCAGACTTCAGTGGGGATTTTAATTGGCCTTCTACAATCAACAGGCAAACTCCTCGAGGATGAATTCACTCCTCAGCCATGTTAAGCAGTCTCAAGGACCTAGGCTGGGTTTTGAAGTGGCCTCACGCAGAGTTCTGGAAACCACTCAGATCACGGACTTCTAAAAAATGGATAGAAGCCACAGGGTGTGGGCCTTTATGCATCTCATATCAATGCGCAAGCTTACCACAGCATATCAGTGGGAAGAGCAATATTTTTGGATTTGTTGATCGCTTCATGTACATGAGGTGATGTTTCTCTGCCAGTCACCAGAATGGACAGCTCGCCACATTCAGGATAATTGCTGGGGAATTAATTGATCTTGATAGAAGAAAAGATATTTGTAGAAGTAAATTATTTCAGTGTGGGACGATTGTTTCTGCTGCTATTGTAGGGAAAGATAAACATCTACAGTCTTATTGGGAGACTCACCCGGGGCCTCAATAAGCTGTTTGTAGATTCCGAGGAATGCAGACTCAGCCTCCTTACTCCGTTTGTTCAGAGCGACCACCTGCAGGGACACAAAAATGCCATTGAGGTAAGTTTTGGTGCATATTACATGTACATTTGCGGCGCTTGATAAACAAACATGTGATGACTTTGAATACTTTCACTAAGAGAAGTTTCTATCAATCAAACATTCATCTTATTATACAGTGTGACAAACTTCAACGCCCCAAACGTTAAGCGACTCAAAAATGCGATTGAAATGATCTGCAAAAACGTACCACTAAAGTTGCTTTGAACTTCAGAAATGGAATATACATCGTGCATTACGCAAGTATGTTTGCAGCATGTTTCAACATGGTGGACGGAGGCGTAGTCTATGTGCAGCATATAAGACTTATTTAATAATTTGAGCTTTTATTAAGGAGCATAAATATAAGGTCAGTGGTTTCCAACCTGTGGAACCAAAGCACGTATTGTGTATGAAAAACCTCATGGTAAAACCATCACACAAAAATAATCAAAAGTATGCATCCTGAGATGATAATTTAGTCACAAATGTACTCAGGTCTGAAATATGAGCTGTGAGTGTGAGCGCGGATGGTTGTTTGTTTATGTGTGCCCTGCAGTGGGCTTGCAACCAGTTCAGGGTGTCCCCCGCCTACTGCTCGAAGACTGCTTCGATAGGCTCCAGCAGCCCAGCAACCCTGGTGGAGATAAGCGGATCAGAAAATGGATGGATGGATGGAAAATAACAATAGTAATTAAAAATAATGCTGTGAATACACTTAACTATCCATCCATCCATGTGCCTGTGTATATATATCCAGAAATACAAAATGCAGGTTTCAAATTACGGCTTTTAATTTTAAGGGAGAAGAAAAATCCAAAGCTATCATGGCCCTGTGTGATTGCCCCCTGAACCTAATAATTGGTTGGGCCATCCTCAGCAGCAACAACCGAAATCAAGCACTTTCTAGAACTAGCAATTAGTCTTCCTGGCAGAATTACTTTAATTTAGCAACACTAGAGGGCTATCAAGAATGAACTTCTTTTTAAAGGTTATGCCACTGCATTTAAATCAGATTCAAAACTGGACTTCAACTAGGCCACTCCAAAACCTTCTTTTTTTTTTTTTTTAACTGTTCAGAAGTTGACTCGCTGGTGAGTTTTACATTGTTGTTGTGATGCAGGACTCAAATGCACGTCAACTTGAGGCCACAAACTAATGGCCAAATATTCTCCTTCAGAATTTTCTGGTAAAGAGCAAAAGAGCAGAATTCAAGGTTCAGTCACCATCACCATCACCTCACCACCACCATATTTGCTTGCTGGTACGATGTTCTTTTTCTGAAATGCTGTGCTACATTGACATCAGATGTGACAAGAAACATACCTTTGAAAAAAATATATATAGAAGACGAGTGACAGAGTAACAAATAAACAGCTTGAGGAAAGCATGATGTGTGTCTTATTAGGAGAACCATGTGACACGCACACACGCATGCACGAGACGATTAAAGGCACATGGATGTATTCAGATTCTGAAAACTATTTATCCCCGCGAGGCAATAAAAGGTGCAGTGTGAAGACACAACAATGCAATACAAAAAAGTATTTTCTACACATCTTATTTTACGGTTTATTTGTGTTTAGAAAGCGTGTTTCAGTAAGTTTAAATATGTTAAAAGTGAATGAGATGGCAACATTAAAAAATACATTTTATGAAAATTTTAATTTATAATTCCATGTCTTCCATTTGATTTTTTTTTTTAAATCAACTACTAATCATCAGAAGCTACGTCATTATCCTCAGCATTTTTTTCTGCCAAGACATACGCCTTGCAAGGTGATATTTGGCCTGGTTATTGTCATCCAATGCCTGCACAAGACTGCTCGTGAGTGACGGTGGCCATCATCAGCAGCAGCACCTGCAAACCTCAGCTCAGTGGGTGACGCAAACCAATTAACGATTCATTAGGAGGCACAAAGAAAGTGAATAAGCCCGCCACCGGGCTCTCTGGAAAGAGCACCTGCTCGAGCGAATAAGTGAGTTACATTTAGTCTAGCTCCTGCTTAGACCTCTGAACTGTTTACTCAGTCAAAAGAAGATCAAGCAGAAGGTGCTTCTCTATACCTTCAATTCATATTGCAATCAATTTTGTAGCTGTAATTTCTTACTGTTGATTATGGCCCTTTCACATCTCATTGATATGACAACAATTGAAAAATAATTTCACAATGGCTGAAGACGGCGGTGCTAATGGTGTATTAGGACTGCTTAGTGGGGTCATAAATAAGGTGTGTGCAAAAAAAAACCTGGCCACGTGGAGCCTTTGATTTACTGGAAATGGCTGCCGTTTTCCCTGGGGAGGCATAACAACAACATCATGTTTAAAGAAATATCATAATATCAGATCAAGCAATGGTGCTAATGGTGTATTAGGACTGTGTAGTGGGGTCATAAATAAGGTGTGTGCGGAAAAAAAACCTGGGCACGTGGAACCTTTGATTTACTGGAAATGGCTGCCGTTTTCCCTGGGGAGGCATAACAACAACATCATGTTTAAAGAAATATCATAATATCAGATCAAGCAACCCCCTCCTCCTCCGCATCAATGCCACGAGGAGCAGCTCAGAGGAGTTCATGGAAAATGTAAAAGGCCGGCGCCCAATCAATACAGATGCAATAGCATGTAGCTCTCAGCCAACTCCCTGCAACATTGTGTTGTTGTTTCCCTCCGCTTTACGTCCATTTAAATCTCCCAATCCCTTCTCGAAAAAGGTGTCACTGTGGCAGATTGCTCCACAAATGCTCCAAATTTGAGGCGTTTTGTGTCACAGAAATATACATATGCTCAAACAAAAAATTTGCACATAATTAGCAGACTGCAACTTCAATTCAGTCACACATCCACGCCATCATACTGTCCATTAGAAAGCAATACTGAGTGTGAATCAATTTGTTGTGCAAATTCGACGGACAATAAGTGGGAAGGAGAAGCAACAAGTTCGACAAACGTTTTGAAGATAATGATGATTTTCTTCTTTTCCTCAAACCATGCCTCTCTTCCTATTCCTTCTGGCTGGTAGCTGGCTAGGTTTGCTGTCTTCCATTTGATTTTTTTTTTTAAATCAACTACTAATCATCAGAAGCTACGCCATTATTCTCAGCATTTTTTCTGCCAAGACATACGCCTTGCAAGGTGATATTTGGCCTGGTTATTGTCATCCAATGCCTGCACAAGACTGCTCGTGAGTGACGGTGGCCATCATCAGCAGCAGCACCTGCAAACCTCAGCTCAGGAGGGGACGCAAACCAATTAACGATTCATTAGGAGGCACAAAGAAAGTGAATAAGCCCGCCACCGGGCTCTCTGGAAAGAGCACCTGCTCGAGCGAATAAGTGAGTTACATTTAGTCTAGCTCCTGCTTAGACCTCTGAACTGTTTACTCAGTCAAAAGAAGAGCAAGCAGAAGGTGCTTCTCTATACCTTCAATTCATATTGCAATCGATTTTGTAGCTGTAATTTCTTACTGTTGATTATGGCCCTTTCACATCTCATTGATATGACAACAATTGAAAAATAATTTCACAATGGCTGAAGACGGTGGTGCTAATGGTGTATTAGGACTGTGTAGTGGGGTCATAAATAAGGTGTGTGCGGAAAAAAAACCTGGGCACGTGGAACCTTTGATTTACTGGAAATGGCTGCCGTTTTCCCTGGGGAGGCATAACAACAACATCATGTTTAAAGAAATATCATAATATCAGATCAAGCAACCCCCTCCTCCTCCGCATCAATGCCACGAGGAGCAGCTCAGAGGAGTTCATGGAAAATGTAAAAGGCCGGCGCCCAATCAATACAGATGCAATAGCATGTAGCTCTCAGCCAACTCCCTGCAACATTGTGTTGTTGTTTCCCTCCGCTTTACGTCCATTTAAATCTCCCAATCCCTTCTCGAAAAAGGTGTCACTGTGGCAGATTGCTCCACAAATGCTCCAAATTTGAGGCGTTTTGTGTCACAGAAATATACATATGCTCAAACAAAAAATTTGCACATAATTAGCAGACTGCAACTTCAATTCAGTCACACATCCACGCCATCATACTGTCCATTAGAAAGCAATACTGAGTGTGAATCAATTTGTTGTGCAAATTCGACGGACAATAAGTGGGAAGGAGAAGCAACAAGTTCGACAAACGTTTTGAAGATAATGATGATTTTCTTCTTTTCCTCAAACCATGCCTCTCTTCCTATTCCTTCTGGCTGGTAGCTGGCTAGGTTTGCATTTTTGGAGGAGTTATCTGCAGCCCACAGAAGGTGCTCAGATACACTCAATTTTGCATGGACAAAGAAGAGGAGCACTACTGGAGCCCCACAGATTGACCTGGAGACGAACTAAATGCAGCTTCACAATGTTTGCTATGAACTCTGGGCTCCATTAATTGACCCAAGTCTGCAGATTTCAGAGTCCTGTTGGGTTTATTTTAAATCAATATTTTTTTTAATGTATTCAGAACCCAAACCATTTAGTGATTTATAGACCAGTAGCAGAATTTTGTAATTATTCTGGAGCTGATTGGTTTTATACGTTCTGGTCTCTTGTTTATTTGGCCTGGTTATTGTCATCCAATGCCTGCACAAGACTGCTCGTGAGTGACGGTGGCCATCATCAGCAGCAGCACCTGCAAACCTCAGCTCAGTGGGTGACGCAAACCAATTAACGATTCATTAGGAGGCACAAAGAAAGTGAATAAGCCCGCCACCGGGCTCTCTGGAAAGAGCACCTGCTCGAGCGAATAAGTGAGTTACATTTAGTCTAGCTCCTGCTTAGACCTCTGAACTGTTTACTCAGTCAAAAGAAGATCAAGCAGAAGGTGCTTCTCTATACCTTCAATTCATATTGCAATCAATTTTGTAGCTGTAATTTCTTACTGTTGATTATGGCCCTTTCACATCTCATTGATATGACAACAATTGAAAAATAATTTCACAATGGCTGAAGACGGCGGTGCTAATGGTGTATTAGGACTGCTTAGTGGGGTCATAAATAAGGTG